AAGAGTGCTATAGGTAGGGTCTGTTTGGGAAGCAATAGGGGAGCAGTAATAATTAGGTTTCTGTGGGTCTTCAGCATGCTCCACCAACCAAATGTCTAATTTTGGCCACCCCATTAGTAAAACACTGCCATGGTCTTCTTTACCCATGGAGCATAGCATGGCTGGACCAGTGGGCCCCTGGCAGCAAAAGGAGCACCCCACCAGGAGGCCTCCCTCTCTGCATGGGGATGCTTTCAACAGACCTGCAGACTCCCTTCAGCCACCTCAAGGTTTGCACTATTCTTTGGAAGCTTTGATCATACCCATTTTGCATTGTGTGCTGTCATTGCAGGTTATTCTTGTCTAATAGACTGTTAGTAATAGGTACAGCATTCTTGTTGGTCAGTCCATGGTGGAGCAACCACCACTTCCAACATTCAGCCAGATTGAAGTGGCAAAGATAAGAGGAAGATGTGACTGAACACACTTAAGAGCCCACTATCGGGCCTACGCTGAGGTGGTGAGGGCAGCGAAGAAGCAATTCTTCTCCGCTTCCATTGCTTCCTCACAGTGCTGTCAGGCAGAGCTTTTTCAGGTGGAACACAGCCTTGTACATCATGGCCCAAAAAAAGATCTCATGGCACCATCTGTAGCCCGCTGTGATAACTTTGCCCAGCACTTCAAGGAGAAAATCGCTCAGATATTTTCTGTGGAGGGTGGGTGAGAGTCTTCTTCTTCACCCTGATTAACCAAATCAATGGGGGCTAACTATGCTAGTTCCAGGGCTGCTATTGTTTAGGGCTCATTTCTGTGGAAGAATGATGAGACTTAGGATTAGATCCTTGGCCACCCTTGACATCCCCCAGCCCACCTTGTTTTGCCCCTCCAGCAGTGGGACACCAGCAGTCACAGATTTATGCCTGTGGAGTAAGTAGCCTTTGGTCAGAGTTAGGATTTTGCCGTGAGTATTCTTTTGATGACTGAAATTGTCCTTTGACTGGTTTAACCATTTATTCATTTTTTTCTAATTCATTTGTTGTTCTGTTGTCTCTACATCCTGAAGAGTCTTGTAATTGCTGTCCGGCGGAGCTTTTTCGGGTGGTACAAGGGCTAGTTCATCCTGGCCCCAAGAAAGACCCTGTACCGCCCTCAATGGCCTGCTGTGACGACTTTGCCAAGCATTTTAAGGAGAAAATCGCACAGATTCATCACGAGCTGGACTCCACCAGTATTTCAGAGCCTTCAGGGGAGGAACCAATGTTGCCATCTGGTCCTAATTTATTGGATGAGTTTCAGTTATTGCGGCCTGATGATGTGGACAAGGTGCTTGGACAAGTACATCCCACCACCTGCCTATTGGACCCTTGCCCATCTTGGCTACTTAACAACGTCAAGCACGGGATAGGGACCTGGATCCTGGAGGTTGTCAATGCCTCTCTAAGGGACGGCCAGGTACCTGCCCCTTTAAAAAGGCGGTAGTCCGACCAGTGCTAAAGAAGGCATCCCTGGATCCAGAGATGGCCACCAATTATAGACCGGTGGCCAACATCCTGTTTTTGGGCATCCCGTTTTTGTTCTGCCACCACCTGTTGGAGCAGGTGGTGGCAGAACAACTCCAAGCACTCTTGGATGAAATTGATCAACTGGACTCATTTCAGTCCGGCTTCAAATCTGGGTATGGTACTGAATCTGCCTTGGTCGCCCTGTATGATGAACTGTGCAGGGAGAGAGACAGGGGGAGTGTGTCCCTGTTGGTCCTCCTGGACCTCTCAGTGGCTTTCGATACCATCAACCATGGTATCCTTCTGGATAGACTAGCAGGACTGGGGGTTGGAGGCACTGCTTTGCAGTGGTTCCGCTCCTATCCCAATGGCCAATTCCGGAAGGTGGTGCTGGGAGACTATGGCTCTGCGCCATGGCAGTTATGCCATGGAATTCCACAGGGATCTATTTTGTCCCCCTTGCTATTTAACATCTACGTGAAACCGCTGGGGGAGGCCATCAGGAGGTGTGGGCTGCGGAATCATCAGTATGCTGATGATACCCAGCTCTACCTCGCATTTTCCACCAATCCAGGTGAGGCAGTGGCTGTACTGAACCGGTGCCTGGCCGAGGTAATGGGCTGGATGAGGGCCAATAAACTGAAGCTCAATCCAGACAAGACGGAGGTCTTGTTGGTAGGCGGCTCGAGCTTCGGGGAAGGGGACCTTGATCTTGTCCTGAATGGGGTTGCACTCCCTCTTAAGGACAAGGTCTGCAGCTTGGGAGTGCTCCTCGATCCAGAGCTTTTGCTGGAAGCTCAAGTAACAGCAGTAGCGAGGAGCGCTTTCTTTCAGCTTTGGCTGATTCACCAGCTGCGTCCCTACCTGAAGAACGACTGCCTGGTGACAGTGACACACGTGTTGGTGACTTCCCGACTAGACTTCTGTAACGCGCTCTGCGTGGGGCTGCCCTTGAAGACGGTCTTGGTGCCAAATAGAGCTGCCAGGTTGCTGACGGGGACTGGGTGTTGTGCTCACATAACTCCAGTCCTCCGTCAGCTTCACTGGCTTCCCCTTGAAGTCCAGGCCCAATTCAAGGTGTTGGTTATCACCTATAAAGCCCTTAACGGCTTGGGTCCTGGTTACCTAAAGGAGCGCTTACATCCATACGTGCCCTCCCACCCCTTGAGATCGGCAGCAGAGGCCCTTCTCCGGGAGCCCTCCGTGAAGGACATTAGGAGGGTGAGCACCTGGAGGAGGGCTTTCTCTACGGTGGCGCCCAACCTATGGAATGAGCTCCCCAGAGAGGTCCACCTGATGCTATCATTATTTGCTTTTCGGTGCCAGGCCAAGACCTTTTTATTTAAACGTCATTTTAATTGTTGATTTTATTTATTGATTTTAACAACTTTGGCCAGGATGACTCCAACTGTATTTTATTGTACTAATGATATTTATTTATTTGTAAGCTGCCCCGAGGCTTAGGCGAATGGGGTGGCATATAAGTCTGTTAAATAAATAAAATAAATAAATATGAAACAGAGAATTAACTGGATCTGACAATTATTTCTTAGTTACCTTAATTTACCTGGCCCTAACTTCTGTAAAGCGTTTCCAAATAATGTATTGGTGTACCTTAGATTCTTGCTGCTTTGAGTGGGTCATTTTGTGAAATGTGATACCCAGAAGTAGATAAATAATTCTGTTCACAGTCCAAAGGCAGACGAGAGACTTTGATGCCCTACACTTGTACATAGACACAAAAAGATAATAAAGGGAATACATATGGTGTACAGCCAGGGAAAAGTTGGCATGATGTAGTGGTTAGAGTGCTGGACTGGGACTGAAGAAATCTGGGTTCTCATCCACACCCAGCAATGAAACTGTGTGAGTCACTTTAAGCCACTCACTAAATTTCAGCCTGAACTATTTCATAGGATTGTTGAGAGGATAACATAGAGAGGAGTGGGAGAAGGATGAAGTCTCCTGGACTTCCTTGAAAGAGAAAAAAAGGAGGTACATAAATGCAATCGTCATCATCATCTCCATCTCCCATCCAAAAGGCCCCAAGACTGCGTCCTGAAGCGTTGTCTCCCTTAGTATCTTGCTTGTATTCCAAGCTACTTTTATCAGGAGATTTTCCCCTACAATTACGGCGTCTGGGCACTACCAACCCATGGCTGTTTTAATCTAACACTTATTACTCTGATTTGCAGGAATGACTTTACTGCCATCAAACCTATTTTGTGACATTTCCCTGCTCTTTCCATGTATGGATTTTGGTTGGATTATGCGGGCAGGAAATGTATTCTTTTATGGTGTGTGGGTGTTTTTCACTTCACACCTACAGAGCTGTGCAGCTTCATTAACCATATACTTTATTTTTAAGCCTGGGTTCTTTTGCAGCTGTGAAGATGTACATACAATTGCCAGACTTTGAAAACAGAAAAGCAGCCTGCAACAGCAGCTTGACCTCCTCATTCTCTTAGAATTGCTGCTTTGTCTTTGTGACATTTCTTGTCTTGTGAAGTGTGTTTGTGCTCTAAACACAAGCAATAAAACATATATAACTTTTCATACTTGTCTTATTTCTTGCAAAATGACAATACTATGCATTGGTGTGTGGCACCCAAACATGCTGTAAACACATGGTATATAGTAACTTGTGTCCAGGAGGCAGCGATTGCATTTTTTAAAGAAAGAAAGAAAAAAAGCTAATACAGTGATGCCTCACAAATGAAAGGGACTCCAGTGTAGTGCTAACCATGAACAATGTGAACCACAGAGGTGGGCAGAGCTATTGCATGCTTGTTCCTGATCTCTCCCACCTTTGCATGAAGAATAGGGGTGCAGAACCACAGGTCTGCAGGCCAAATCCAGCCTGCAGGTTTCTCAAGAACCCATGGCCACACCTCCTTTCCTCAGTGGATAGTTGCTTGGTGGCTTCACAGGCTGAAATGTCTCTTTAAGGGCCTAATTACTAACAGCAAGCTGTTTAAAGCTAAAATATGCTTGTATTTGTATGAATGGATAGGGACGTAAATAGGTATGCATAGGTATTTTTGGCATTTTACTTTTGCCCCCTTTGCCTGATTTTACCTTTGGCCTCACCCACCATTGAAATGCAGAGCTCAAGGTCTGCTAATGAATTTGAATTTGTCCCTCAGGTGAGGGTGGTTCAGCAACTCTGGTGCACAGCTTACACATTTTCACACGTCTGAGCATAACTTTAAGCACAGATAATTCTGTTGTTCTTAGTCTTTTATCACTTGCCTGAAAGTAAGCCCCACTGAGGACAATGAACTTACTCCTGAGTAAACAGGTGTAGGATTGCACTACATTGATTAACATGCATATTTTTTCTGAAGTACATCCAGTGTTTATTTGATGTTGGAACACAAACATTAGAAGTTGAAATGGCCAATTTACTTTTGGCAACAGCAGAAAGGACTGAAAAACACGGCTTTCATTTTCTTCATGTTGTTAATTTATTGATTTGTTGAATTTATGTTTTGATGTAACATATTTATCTCTTGTCAGCTAAAAATGGCAACAAGAAAGGTGAGAAAAACAAGAAGAGCAATGAAAGAACACCAGATGGCAACTATGAAAGGCGAAGCACTCATGAAGTCATTCGAGAAAGTAAGCTGGGATGCTTTAAGGTGGCTCTGTCCTGGTGCGCCTGGCACAAAACCCCCACCTGGGCTGATCAGCCATGCCAGGGGTCATGTGTCCTGTGAAGTGGGCATGGGTTCTGCAGAATCGCTTACTTTTCAGAGATAAGCCATCCTGAGAACCCATGGCTTCTTTAAGAGTTATTGATATCCATGGTGGCTCGTTACATGGTTTGAACACCACAGGACGATTTTATCATGGGTTGCCAGGGATGGCTAGAGAACTACCTGGCGGAGAGGCAAAGACTCTTGATGCTCCTTGCAATCTTGCTTGTGCTGCCCCCATCCTCCTTCATCTCTTCTCACTGCCTTCTGCCACATGCCTCAAAAAACCTTGAAGAAAGGGCACTGGGGGCGTCCCACGTACATTTGAAACTTCTTTTAACCTTTCTGGGAAAATGCTGATTTGCAAATGACAGCTACCTTTTCATTTGTAGACTTTTCCTCCTCTAACTTCTGCTCGGCTTGGCTGTGAATTTTTTTTTCCCTTTCCAGTTGAGTAGGTGTTGTGATCACTGTTCTGTAACTCTTATTAAGAAAGGGAAGTGATGAGCAGGAAGGGTGTGGGAAGCTGAAAGTGGCTGGAGAAAAGGAACTTCTCAGGTGCGTATTCCTACTTTAGGAGTGGGTGGGTTACATTCCTGTAACATCAAGCAGCCCTTTTTAATGGCATCTGCTTGCTAGCCAGAAAGGGGTCAGAGGGGAAGAGGGGAAGATGGGAATGCTTGCCTATCATCAGAGAGGTGGAGGCACTTTGGGACTGGGTGTGCTTGCTCTAGTGTAATGTGAAGCATACATTGTCCAGACAAGCATTTGCTAGCTAGCAATGTAAGCACTGAAATGGAAGAGAATCAATTTGTTCAACAGCAATTCTTGTGCAACAGCAATGGCCCCTGAAAAAAAATGTATATTTTTAAAAAGTCATTCCTGTGTTCCTAAGGGCTTGCATTCATTTATGTTTTTGATATAAAGTGTGGGAGAGGGAGAAGGTACTTAGGGAATGGTTGTGCTTACAGTAACAGAAGGTGAAGCAGCCTTAAAAAATAGGTGTTTGCTAGCAAGGCAGTCCCCCAAGATGGAGGAGAGCAGAGACAAGGACAGCATGTACCAGACAGAGATATTAGTGTGTGGGGCTAAGCGTTAGAGAAGAGGGAAATATGGGGATGCGTCGCTTGGAGAGGGCAGACTTGCACTGTGCCGCAATGGCAAAATTCTTTCCACCTGAAATCAGCTGTAAATCACACTTCCCATTCGTGAGGGCTGGGAAAATGGACTTCATTTGGTGAGCTGATGTGTGTGTGCATTTAAAGGATGCTTCCCCAAGAAGCCAGTAAGTGCAGTGATCCAGGATGCTGGTGTAGGAACTGAGGCAATGAGGAGCCCTACTACAGAGTCCTCTGGGGATGAGCCAAAGGTGGTGTGAGGGCTGATGGAGGAGGAGGAGGAGACCAAGCCAGGGCAGCCCTGATTATCTATCTTAGCATAATGTCTTTTGCTTTGGGTGTAAGTTTTGGTTGGAACCAATAATACTTAAATAAAATAGGACTCTGAAAAAGAATTGATTATTAAGAAACATGCCTTGGTTCCGCATTTGAATTTTCATTATTTGATGTTTTCCAGACAGCAAGCAAAAAGCATAAGGCAGGCCTGTTCAAGTGTTTGAAGGTCTGTAGGCTTTACATACAAGAAGCAGGAATGACTAAGAGGAGAATGTTGTTCTTATTTTTAATGGGCATATTCAGTTTTATTTTTATTTCTTTCTTTATCTACCATTTTCATGCACCATTCCGTAATGTAAAATTCTGTAAGTGGCCTAAAGTAAACACACATAAAAAATGTAAATCTACAATTTAAGAAATCCTGAAGCCAACATAACAGAAGTAATCGCAGTTAGTTATGTGTTTACAAAATAAAATATTACGGCATAAGTTTCATCAAGGCAGGAACATAGATGTACAAAAACAGATACCCTATAGTAGCCCCTGAGAAACAACCTTCCAACACGGATAGTGCTTCACTGACCAGAATTGGGCCACAAATAACATTACAGTGAGAAGATTTTATCTGATAGCAGATATTTAATATATAGTTAGGCTGGGCTACCTGACACAATAGCCAATAATGGGGCAACCTTTTATTTGTTATCTTTATATCCTTTTTTTTCTTCGAACAAACTCAAAGTGGCATACATCATTTTCTTCCTCCTCGTCTCAGTCTTATCCCCACAACAACAATCCTGCGAGGGAGGTTGGGCTGCGACTGGCCCAAAGTCACCCAGTTGGCTCCATGGCTACTGATCCAATGTAGAAATTGCACAACAAATGAGCATATTCAACAGATTCTGTCTCCATACTGTTACAGGGACAAGGGAACACCACTGTGTGCTTCCCAAAATGAGAAGGTATCACATTAAGCTGAGCCAAATACTAACCATATTGTGTTTGGCTAGTCAAATTATCAGTGAACTGAAAAAAGTTTCCTGAACAATCAGAAAGGACTTGAAGGACATATCCACAGTCTTTGCTGTGCTGGGGTAATGAGAGATATCTAAAACATGAGTCCTAATAAACCTTTGTTCAAGAGAGGGGTTGGTTCTGTTTCCTTTGAAGAGAAGCCACTTTATTTGGAAAAAAAACTGAACAGATTCCTTTCAGGCTTCATCTGAATATGGTCTACATTCGTACTCTGCCTTTGTCCTTCTCTTATTCTTGGAAAGGATTTATTCAATTTCTGCCAAGCATCTGGTAGAAAAGATGGCATTTTCTTGTATTCTCATAAACAGTGCAGAGTATATGCCCCTTCCCACCCTTCAGACTGGGCATTTCTTTAAAAGCTGACCTGACTAGCAGAGTGGCACAGAAGTTGCGGATTCGCTAATGCAACAGACAGAATGAATCACCTGGGGACAATAAGCCTTCATGGGGAAACAATAAACCATGTTAGGCTATTGCCAAACTATTCTCCAGTGATTTATACTGAACTCAGTAACCACTACATATCTGTGGTTCTCTGAATACTTCCTGGCTGGTTTCCTCTAGGAATCTTTGTAATGTTAACTCCATGACTGAACATCTGTAGTACAAATAGAATGACCCTCACCCCCACAAATTACATTCATTTAAGTATTTAAGTGCACACTTGCAGTGCAAATCTATTTATTTTGACTCACATCCCATTGCGTTCAATGGACTGAAGTTTTAACCTTAACTATAGCCCAGTCTTGGTGGATTCACGGAGAGCATATTTAAAAAGACTGATGGTTTGGGAATGCCAACAGGAAGCAATTTCAGAAGAAATGTATTGCTAATGTCAGATGGTAATTTCTTTGCACCATTTTGTTGTATCTGTCCACAGTTATTTCTAGCACTATTATGATGGCAGTATAATATGGGGTTTATGCTACCTTCATTATCCACTTCTTCCTAGACTCTAGTTTTGGAGAGCATCAGGGACTGAGCCTTACAGACTTTCTAAGAATATAAATACGGAATTACCAAACCCAATTAATTATGGTTATAGGAAGTATGGTTTGGATTTAAGTACAGCTGCACTAAGTAGGTGAATTTATGGGAGACCTTAGCAACTTTCTATTCTTTCTTTCAGTTGAATGAGGTGGCACATCTAAGAAGTTTACCTTGGGAAAGGATTATATTTCAGTAGTAGTGGAGCACATTCTATGCATTTGGAAGGTCTAAGGTACAGTCCTTGCCATCTGGTAGCAGACTTCATTTGATTAGAAGGACAAATATTCTGACCTGGTATAAAGCAGTTCCTAGGACCATGTATAAAAACTTTGTGGAAAGGTCTTGAGTCTATGGGACATATACAAACCATATCTGACAACAAAGGTTAGAATATATGTCAGTATTAGGGCTAACCATGATGCTAATCAGCTTTAAGGTTCACATGTTCTGAATTTCAAATGGTCAACAAAAGAGATTTAAACTTCTAATTAAATAACTGAGCAAAGTGCTTTTCTGTTTTTCAGTGTGAGTCATCAACATCAATCACAGAAAACGGAACTGAGCAAAAGCCCTCAGTTGTTGATTTTTATACTACGGGAAACAATAAATTTTCTTCCTAAGGCAGTGTAGAGGACAATATATAGAGAAACTTGTATGCTTTGGGACAATGCCCAAGTTTGTCTGACAAAGCATTTACATCAAGGGAGGGAAGACAATGAGGCCTGAGAGATTATGACTTGCCTAAAATTAATTTGATACCCTCTGGATGTTTGGGATAGTAAGTCTCAGCATTTCTGACCATTGACCAAACTGTATATACTTGTAGAAGTTGTGGAGTGATGGCTCAAAATTTCCTCTAATCTCCACATTGGTTTTAAAATGTGGCTTCATTTGTTTTTTTCCTCTTTTTATTTTTTTTAGACAGAAAAAACCATAAATACAATCACAACAATAATACTATAACATAACAAGAACACAATAATTAAAAAAAGAATAAATGAAAGAGTGCACCCACCACCCCAGAGACCAATACTACCATTGTACACATAGTATAACAATTAATAATACTCGTATATAATATACTTCAATTTTACCCATATCCCCTCCAGAAATTCATATAATCTTGATTGGGTTTACAGCCTTTGCCTTCTATCAGTACTTCTTTTACAAAATCTTCCCAAATTTCATTATATTCATTTGCTTTCATTAACCCTTTTTAATTTTTATTTCTGATATCAGTTTATCATTAATTTCCATATTCCATAATGTGGCTTGATTTGTGTCAGACTGAGCTGATGCCAGAACCAGACTGGTAGAACAGATTTCATGTGCTAAACTGTGGAAATCCACTGGATTTCCAACCCCTGTCAGTTTCCTCACACATGCCTGGTATACCTGTCCATCCTGGAGAGAGAGTCTCTAAACAGTTGGGGTTTAACCCCCTTGACTTTGCTTTCTCTCACAGCTGTCAAAAGGTGGCCTGCCAAGTCAAAGCAAAGCCGTG